CATGGCCTTGTTAGTAGCCCTCTCAGTTTCCCTGCGTTTCCCCTCGGCCCTTACGTCTTGTCTCAGTCTCGCGATTTCTTCCTTTAAATCGTACACCACCACTGCTAGTTCTCCGATCGTTGGCGGTGTTATCTGTGTGATTCTGCGCTTGCGTTCTGGTCTCGCGTCTGGTACAGTGGGTGGGAGGTATTCTGTTCCATCGCCGTCGGTGGAATGGTAGTCTTCTTCGGTCCTCATAGCGTCTTGCTCTGTCGGGGGCTGATTGGCCTTCTGCCTGACCGGTTCAGATCGGTGGTCAGGAGGGTCATTTGTGTGCTTGCCATCACTGGCTGAGTTGTTAAAAGTTTTGGTGCTTCTAGCAATCGAGACCATCCTTGTCCAGGGGCTACGCTAATCTTCTCTGTATTGTTCCAATTTTGATTGATGCCCCCCGAAGGGGGCGATTTGTAGCCTTGTGTAAATTGCACAATTCCGGGTGATATCAAAAAACTAATTGTGGGCGGGCACAGACTAATTGTGGCCGGGCTGTCGGACCTCTTCAGGCACTTTTGGCGCCCAGTGAGGATAACCCGAAGCTGCCGGAAGGCCTAACAGACGGTAGCGTCTTTTCGGGGAAGAGTTGTGAAGCTTGTTTGTGCGTTACATCATGCGTGGGAACCACCTTAGGTGGCGCTATGAGGGCGTGTTTCACGATGGAAGGATTGCCCTTCAAGGCATGAGACACCTGGTGCCGGGGCTGGGTGGAGGTTGGTGCTGGACGATGTCGTTACCGCCGCACGGACCGGTCGTTAATTGTGGGCGGGCTACACAACGGGCGCCAACGCGACCGGATGACGGCCAGCCGGAGGCGGGATCAGGAACATGCCCCTCCAGTTCGCTGCGAAAAAGTTCACCGCTGCAGAGCGCAGGTGGGACGTCACGGCGAGGGACGTCACGGCGAGGGTGGTCCAGTGCAGTCAGGAGACTGAAATGTCGTAGTTCGTTTCGTAGTGAGGATTGGCCACTACGTTACCTCACGGGGTTAAGCAGACGACGGTGCGCTCATAGAGCGGGGGTGCACTTGTTGCATTGGAATTTGGAAGATGGTGGAGAACACGCGAGGAACACGCGAGGAAGATGGTGGAGGAAAGCCCGAGGATATGTGCGTTGATGACACCAGACTGGAAGCGACCCATTTATCCACAGAGTTCCGGATTACGAACGCGTTCTGCCGAGCACCTGGATTTATCCAGATCTGCGTTCCGAGGATGTCTCGCATTATTTTTGCACCAGGACTGCGCAAGACTGATGCAGCCAGGATTGCGCAAGGGCCGATAAATACATGACTGCGTTCTTTTGACGACATTGTTATTCAGCACTCCCTTATTTCATGAGGATACTCTTCCTCTTGGTACTCTTCCGTACATCTCTTCCGGAACAGTGTAAGTGTTCAGCTGTCTAGGGCGGAGTAGATTTTTTCAAAATACTCGGCGCCAAGGGACGTGCAGCGCTGATAACTGTTCTTTGTCATGTTGCACACTCCAGTGTCCAAGTCGATCAGCAGCTAGAGGTATCGTGTTAGAGGGTGCCGGGCTGTTGGGTGTCAGTCTGTTTGGTGTCGGTCTGTTTGGTGTCAGTCTGTTTGGTGTCAGTCTGTTTGGTGTCAGTCTGTTTGGTGTCGGTCTGTTTGGTGTATTAGAAGTGGCGGTGGGTTACCTCAATAATTTCGTTGCAAATTGCGGAAGCACTGGTCGCCCGAAGGTCGCTAGCGAGCACGATGAGGGAGAGGTCGTAGCCGGGAAGGGGTCGCTTGCGCATGAGTCTACGTCTGCGGGTCCAGGCATCGTACACCGGGACGTCTTGGACCAGGAGGTTTTCGACGTGGTTCATGAAGGTGGTAAACTCGTCGACATCCATGGAGGCGCCGTGGGCGACCTGGGTGGAGGAAGTGGTGGATGAGAGATCGCGGCTGCTCGAACTCGGATCGGCTGCGTAAGCGCGGTCTGCGTAGCGGGGGTCTTGGTAGCGGGTGTGTTTTCGGAGCAGCGGGGTAGTACATTGGGCGAGCAGCGAGTGACGGAGTTTCCTGAGCACCAGTTGCAGTGGCACTCGCAGCTCGGGCTCAGCCACCAGGAAACGCAACGAGATGCGGCAACTGTCGATCGTGCGCTCAATCAGCACTGCCGGGTGCGCCGCCGATGGCAACTGTAGAGCCGGTGCTAATCCCGGGTCCGCGTCTCCGTTGCGCTCCACACTCGGCTGGCACGCCGGCAACTGATAGATCGGGATATCCACCAACCGCGAAACCACCGAAGGCAATACCGCCGCCAGGTCCTCAAACACTCGACCCAATACCCGGTACTGCCGTCCGCCAGCCAGATTGTCCACCTTCACCCGCCATACATGAAGCCCCCCTTGTGCACCTTGCGCACCTTCTTGGGGTCTCGAATGGACGAGTTGGTCCATTATTTGAAAGAGTTGGTGGCGGCTTATGGGGAGCGGCGAGGTGTGCTGTGTGCGTTGAAGGAGGGTCAAGAGGAATGGCTACAGGAGCAGTACGAGCGCGAGCGTGCGTTGCGAGTACGCATTGCCGGAACGGACGCGGAACTTGGCGCCCGTCGTGCCGCACTTGGCACACTCCGCAACCGTCATCAGGAGGCTCTCTGCAACGCATTCAACCGCCAACTCGACCGCCTGCAGCGCCGCCTCACAGAACTCGACCAACACTTCGCGGATATACACACTGGCGTGGGCGCCTGCAGCGACCCAGGTCCCGAGAACCAATGCACCCCTTGGGAACTTATTCCGTCGGGACACACCCCCTCAGGGTACGCCCCTTCCGGATACACCCCTTCCGGGTACACCCCATCCGGGTACACCCATTGGCAACCCACCCGTTCAGGACACAACCTTTCAGGGTACAATCCTTGGCAACTCACCCCGTGGCAACCCACCCCTTCAGGGCACAATCCTTCCCACAATCCGTTGGGGTCCAACCCGTGGGAACAAAGTACGCGGGGCACCGACGACATGCTTTGGGGGCACGGACCGGCGCCCATGACGACCACGCCTTGGGGGCACGGACCGGCGCCCATGACGACCACGCCGCCAGGACCCGATGCCGCGCGGCCCGGACGAGTGCCTCTGCGGGGGCTGACGCCGGACGCCGAGGCAACACCCGTCTTCGAACCCCCCAGAGCCCCCCAGAGGACAGGAGGCGTCTTCGAACGCGCCAGCCCCCCGGCATCTTCAAGTCCCGAACCTGCCGGTCCCGGATCTGCCGATTCAGCTCTGAGAAACAGGCCGGGGCCAAAGACCAGATCTACTGCCAAAGAAAAGAGCGTCTGGCCGGCACCGTCGCCACTTAACCAGTACCGAGCGACCGGCAGGGACGCTGCACTGGACGGGGCGGAGTACTACGGGGAGGATGGAACACCCTTTAGCACATATGAGCAGCTGCCCCCAGTGTCGAACATGGCGTCCAATCTGGCGGATAAACTGTCTTCGACCCATCCGTCGAACAAAGCAATGATTAGTGTTAGAGCATCGCCCCAACTCGCCGTGCCGAGTACGCTGGGTGAACTATTTGACTACGTTATTAAACGCAACTAACGACCAGACGCACTTTCTGGCGGACCAGGCTGGGCTGGCTCCCTGCCCGCAAGGACACACTGGTATAAGGGGGAGTTGTGATGTGGTTGTGTCACTTCGCTCAGCGACGTGACCGTCGCGTGATGGCCGCGCAAAAGGAAGGGTTTTTTTTATGAACGGAAAAATGTTGTGGGCGGTTCGTTGGCGGGCGGTGGTTTAGTCGCTGGACGGGTGTCTGGGGTGGTTTAGTCGCTGGAGTGTTGGCGGAAAAAAGATTTTAGATTTTTGCTGCTTTCGTGACGTATTTGGAACGTGCGATCGAACACGTGTGCGAAATGGCAGTTGGTTCTCCTTCCCGACGAATCTGCGGCGTTGCCGCAGGTAAGTGGGCTGGGGCGGGCGCGGCAGAGCACTTGCGATTGTATTCGCAATCTACGTCTGCTTCGTGTTCGCCATTAGAAGTGAGTCGTGCGGCCCCGGAAAAGGTTCGAAAACAAGCAGCTCCCAAGTGTCGGAAGAGTTCAAGAATTGATTTAGCCAACGTGCGCAAGAAGGAAAGACAAGATCTTCTTCAAGGCGGAACAAGAACTAAGGCTACAATTAAGAGTGACCAGACCGGCCCCACCCGCATGCATGCATGACCCGCATGACTTTCGTGCCGGACTTGTTCCGACTTTCATGCCGGGACTTTCGTGCCGATCCCCCTGTAACAGCTTGTTTTGCAGATGGTTTGTCCACGTGTTCAACAGAGGTGACAGAATTGAGTGACGGCGGGTGGGAAGAGGGTGAGGTTGCACCTGCTCCGGTGGTCGCCAAGACGCCGTGCGGCGTGTCAAGTCGTCTAGTATGTCGCACGGGTCGTGCGGTATTGCACTGTAGTCCTGGTGGTACTGATTACATTGTGACTCCCGGTCGGCATAAGATTAGCATGACAGAATTCCTGTCGTGCATTGATCGTGCGCAAAGTGAAGTTGGTTGCCCAGCATTACGAGCTGCAAGTCATTACCATGAAGTTATGTTGCGTATGTGGATGGAGAGAGAGAAGGCGATGGATATTAATGTGTTCAACTTGAGTTTTAAGGAGGGGACGGCGCTTGAACAATTCCGGCAGATGGCTGTGAATAGTGTGTTTCATTACGCTGTTGATCACAAGTTACACGAGAAGACGGTTCACCTGACATGTTTAAACATCAATCGGTTATTGTACAATCGGTTGGTGGACCATGAGCCATCGTCCCGAGATGCGCGAGTGCTAACGCATGACCTCTTTGCCTGCATCGTTATTACAAGCTTAAGAAATGCAATTAAGAATGATGAATCCTTCGAGAAGTCGGAACTGTTCCGTATTGATCCTGATCATGTCTGGCGATCAACCAAATATCTGGTCCAGGTCGTACAAGACCGTTCGGTTGCCCGGATTAACCAAATCGAAGCCGAGTGTCTATCCGTACTTGACGTACCTTCTAACCCCCCACTCGCTCCCGAATTCATCGACCGCTACCTAGGAGTCGGCGGCTGGCCAGAGTATACCCAACAATACCGTGAACTCAGCTCCTACCTTGTCGGTCTCGCCGTCTTCGCTAACACCTACTCAACTCCCCTCAGAGGAGTACCCAACAGCAAACTAGCAGCCGCCGCCCTGGTACTCGCAATCAAGGTTATTAATACCGACTTTAATAACACCAAATACGAATTCTGGCCACAAAGACTAGCACATTACACTAGACTCACCATGGACGATCTCAAGCCCGTCATCCGGGGACTTGCAAACCTACTCAGAAACAAACCCAGATGGGTAAGACATCCCCTACCCCCTATTCCCTACCCCCTATCCCCTCCTCCCCTACCCCCTCCTACCCTAATTAATACATCTTCACTCGCAGAGCTCAATATTGGAGTCATATTACGGCAAGTGGAGCGAGTATGACTGGAATTAGATTGTTAGCTAGTTAGTTAGATCAGTACATTTTTCCAGGACTATCGCCGCCGAAAGAGACCTCTCGATTCGATTCTAAAACAAGCCGATCAGTTAGTTAGTTAATGGTGATCGATCAGTTAGTTAACAAATAAGCGCAATGAACAGCAGTGGTCGACGACCAGGAAGTAGGCGCGACGGAGGTGCCCCGGCCACAAAAGCTTTACCTTCGACAACTCGAAAGAAGCTGAGGCCCGGCTATCGAGCTTTGAAAGTAACTCTCCCTGTACCTCTTGGCACGCACTGCATGTCCTCGTGAATCTTCGTTGCAGGAGATACGCAAGTATCAAGGGTCAACGGAGCTCCTAATTCCCCGTTTGCCATTCATGAGACTGGTTCGAGACGTGACTCGGAGTCTGGCGCCAAATCTGGATCTGCGATTCACTCCCGAATCGTTGCTTACTCTCCAGACTGCGGCTGAATACTACTTAACGGGATTATTTGAAGACTCAATGTTATGCGCATTGCATGCTAAGAGGGTCACCTTGATGGTCAAAGATATCTATCTCGCACGAAGAATTCGTGGACGTAATCTTAGCTAGAAGGGTAGAATCAATGCAACGAAATGTGGCACTCTTTCTATAACAAACGTGTGTGGCACTCTTTCTATAACACACGTGTACGGTTATGTATTGCACGAAAGTGTATTGCACGAAAGACGTGGTCGGTGTTGTGGTCGGTGTTGTGGTCGGTGTTATTGTTGTTATAAAATAGTTAGTCGGGCCGGGGAATTAAAAAAGATGAGCTTAGTCATTGAGGATGGAGGGCCAGTGATGATGTCGTTGCCTATTCTGCAGGATGCTATAAAGCGACAATCAGGTGCGTATGAGAGTGATTTTCGCGCTCAGTATGTTTCTTTGAAAAGTCGAATAGAGCAGTTCGAAACTTCCCCACAAAAGGCTGACAAAGAGTTCCATGAGTTGGTAATGTTTTGTGCACAAGTGGGTTACTTGTATGATGGAGTAGTAGATGAGTTAAGCCGGACCATGTTGCGATTATTATTGACATACCATCAATTAGCGCGTCCGGGACATCTAAAGACGATACTAGGAGCTCTATGTCTATTGGACAATAATGACCATATAGACCGCAAGATCCTTTTCAATGGATGGTTAGAACTATTGCAATTGGAGCATGACCTAATTCCCTCTATTGTGATGAAACAATTTACCAAGACATTAGGTCGTATAACGAGCGATCAAGATAAGAAACTATGGCAAGGAAAACTCTTTCAGATGATGGGTACAAACAAGAAATCTACATCTCATGATATTACTACTACAGGTCATAATTTGACAGGTCATAATTTGACAACAACATCTCTCTTCCGACGTCGATTACAGTTTATATTAATATCGCTTTTTGTTAAGCGCATCTGGGAAGATAAGAGAACCGCGAATACAATTGCCAATGGAGTATTCGATAGTTGTCCAAAGGTCGTAGAGAATGCTGCAAGGTTCTTATTAGGTGACATTAAACGATTAAATGTTTATCATGCTGAAAATAAGCAAGATCAAGAGGTCGAACCGGAAGAGGCTCGACGAAAGACAGCGGAGCTAATTGCGGGTATTTCGAGGGAGTTATGTCATAACAATAAGACGGGTAAGAATCTAAAGAAAATGGAGAAGATGAAAGAAGCAGCGGAAAAGGAAATGTCCAAATTAGAAACAAAAGTTGATTTAAATAGTACGCTACCATTTGTAGTATTACAACATGTTTATGACCCTCATCTATTTGCTTTGAGAGTGTTTACTCGGGCGACAAGTAAAAGTTTTACAACTGGTGATGGACGTATATCAAGATTAAGCTTTAGACTCAAGCTTCAATTATTGACTATTTGTTCACGTCTTATTGGAACACATGGAATTTATATTCCTGGTTTCTTTACATTTTGTCATCCATATTTAAAGCCTACACAAGAAAAGATTACTGGACTCATGGCTATAATATCTCAGGCTGTTAATAAGGTAACACCTCCTGAGGAGCTACAACAAACCACTCGATTAATAGCAAACATGTTTGCTATTGAATCATGTGCTAATGAAGTGATAACCGTTGGTATAAATAGTATTAGGGAAATGTGTTCAAGAAATACATTAGCTATAACATCAGAATTACTTACAGACTTAATCACTATGGGTAAAGAAAGCAAAAACTCCAGCGTTCGAATCGCGGCAAAGTCACTTAGAAATCTTTATAGGCAAAATAATCCAAGCATGCTACCCCGGAAGGATAGGGTCCATGCGGGATCTGACCTTAAACTACACAATGGAAAAGACGAAAACCAACCAACCAGTATGATTGAAGGGCTCGACATCTTAGTAGGTCTCAAACAGGCCTGGCACAATCAAAACCACCAACACATGACTGAGGATGATCAAGCACACGTACAGAGAGTTTTGGACATTCAGAAATCGAAAGTACTATCAAATCGAGACTTCCAAGCTCTTCGACGAATCAAGATTAAAATGCTCGCAGCACAATCCGTCGGATACTCACTACGACAATGGCTCGACTCCAACGATGGGGCATGGGAACAGCTCGCGGAAGATATTCTAGGTCTCAAACCTGGCCAAGATGACAACCTTCAGGACGACGACCTTCAGGACGACGACCTTCAGGACGACGACCTTCAGGACGACGACCTTCAGGACGACGACCTTCAGGACGACAACCTTGATGATGATAAGAAGGAGGAGGAGGACGAGTCCGATGATAAGGATCAAAGCGATGATGAAATCAAGGATGATGAAACAGATACTCACGAAACAGGGAGTGGAAGCGAGTCCGGAACCGAAAGTGATTTGTTCGCGGATGAAGATGGCATGGCTCTGGACGATGACGACGACGACTCCAGTGGTGAGCGAGAGCGCTTCATTCTAGGTTCTGACTTGGGCAATTTGAAGGTGCTGTCAAAGGAGCGAAAGCGTGAGCTTGTACGAGCTGGCAAAATTGAAGAGAAACAAAAACGGAGAGCTCAGAGACATGGCGGCAAAGAGACTAACCGTGCAGGTATCACGAACAGATCTCAGGCGAGAAATAAGCCCATGGCAATGCTTCGACAAAAGCAGTCGATCAGAGAAAAACGAGTGGCCAGTGCGAAAGACAAGGTCAGCAACCTCAAGAATCATATCAAGACATTGAAGACAAGCATACGGCAAAAATTCAGAAGGAAGTAGCATTTTTTTAGCATGAACCATCGCCTGGAATCGAACCCACGATCTTTCGTAAGTGGCAAAGGTAACTGGGAAGTCGAGGGCGGGCGGGGTGAATCGAGACGATGACCGGGAAGTCGAGGGCGGGCGGGGTGAATATAGGGCAGATAAATGAAAGACGATGAGTACGCGGCATCATATGGGAACCTGGCAGTGCACAAGACAATGTTGACGGATAGGCCGCGCATGGAAGCTTACTTCAAGTCAATTATCTTCAACAAGGAGTATTTCGAGTAAGAGTGAGTACACCTTTAAAGTCAAATGCCTCGGTAGTGACTCGGTCGTGATGGATATCGGCACGGGAACCGGTTTACTGGCAATGTGGGTGGGTATGTATACAGAGGCACGTCGCGTGATAGCGGTAGAGCAGAACCGGGAGTTGGCGGACCTGGCTTCGAAGTTGGTGGCGCGTAATGGACTGGCCGACCGTGTGGAGGTGAAGCACTGCAAAGTGGAGGACTTCCGCGAGGTGGAAGACCACAGTGTGGATATTATCTTATCGGAGTGGATGGGTCACTACTTGCTTCATGAAGGGTTCCTTGATTCGGTTGTGTACGCGCGAAACAAATTCCTGAGGAAAGGTCCTAAAGTGCGAAACCCTAACCTCGAGATATGGAGGAGCAAGAACTGTCAGGGACTCTTGTTTCCGTCGGAAGCAACTATCTATGGCTCGGTCACTTATTTGTCGCCTCTCGAGGCTGACGGAGGGTGGGATGAGTCTCTTTTCTTCGGGCTTGACCTGGCTCCATTGGCCACTGCCAGAAACATGGTTGATGCAGAGAGCGGGACGATGTGTATATCGCAGATGGGTGAACCGCAGATACGATACCTTAGTCGAAGGCCAGACAACGAAGTCGTGGTTGCCAAGCTCGACATGGCTTCTATTGAATGCAGTTCATTGAACGATCTCAGTTGCCAAAGGACGGTCACCTTCACTCGGGAAGCTCCAGCCAACTGTTTCGCCCTCTCCTTTACCTGTACGTTCCCCTCCAAGCCAACCGCTGAGTCCAAGTCAGCCTCTGATGTCAAGGGACACACCACTCGAGAGACAGCCACCGCTCGAGAGACAACCACCGCTCGAGAGACAGCCACCGCTCGAGAGACAACCACAACTGGAAAAGCCACTACGTCGCGCCCGTCGTTGTTGACGCGCAGTGGGGTTGTGAGTGATGCCCACATCATCTTGGACACGCGGCCGGGAATGCCCAAGACACACTGGATGCAGACCCTAATCATGTTCGATACTCTCCCAGTCCACCCATGTCTGCAACTCGTCTTTAATGTTCAGCTTATGAGAGAAAAAAAAACCGATCGGTCATATGTTGTTGGCTTCGAAGTCACGGACGTTCTGGAAGCCAACGCTGAAGTAATACAAGAGGCCTGCTAGCTAGAAATTTGTTCTAGCTATAGAAATTTGTTCTAGCCAGAAATTCGTTTGGGCCTGTTGACTATTTCTATATCGCTCGGGTATGCGATGACGACACGTCCGTCGTCTCTAATCTTAGATTCTTGTATATAGCTTTCCATCGGTTTGATTATGTATGAATCAAGTCTCTTACCCTTCTTGATTACGAGGAAGTCCCAAATTATCGCTAGATTACCAACACTGGTTATGATGAGCTCTCCTTTAGGATCGAAAACAGCTGGCTGGAACTCAATATCGTCCAATTGATAATGTTGGATGTCTCTCGCTTTCAGTTGTAGATAGACAGGCGGAGGTTTCTGGGATCCCAGCCTCATCTCAAAACCTGTTTTCTGATACGATCTCAATTTTGTTGGGTATAGTATAAGACAATTTTTCATTGTTGCTAACACCCATGAACCATCCGGCAATGTATCAACCGCCTTTATTTTTTCATAATGAGAATCCAATTGAGTCTTCGCTATCTTAAATTCATCCGACGAATTTGGCAAGCCATCATACAAACGCAACATACCTTGTTGACTACCTAAAACAATGTGGCCATGGGCATCACTAGCTGCCGCCGTGAAACCCGGCTTTGAGTTGTACATCTTCGTGGTTCCTCGCCAACTATGATCGCCTACATTCGTTTTGGCGGAGCACACACGTGTGTCCATGAGATAGAAAGCATTCGAAGAAGCCGCTAAAAATGTAGGATCATCGCTAGAACCGGCGCCTTTGCTGGAGTGCCATAGCAAATGTGCGGAAAGACCGTCCGTATGAAATTTACTAACTACTTTCTCTCTTTCCAAATCCATTTGATATATATCTTCAGGATTTCGCTCATCAACAAACACTAACTTTCGCTCATTCGAATGCAATAAACCCTTACCAGGATTTACTTCGGTATCTTTATAACCGAATTTCTGACCCTTGATAGTGCTCATTCTATTTGACGTATTATCTACAACATGCAAGTTAAAGTCACGTTCAGCACGACGTCCCCAGTCACATCCCGACGCGCTACCCTTGGCACGACAAACCAATGAACGCTGTTCTCCGATCTCCATAAATTTATGCAAACGCGTGTCTGAGCGTTTTCTTAAGGAACCAGAAACGCAGGGTGAACTTCCTGCATAATTTTCGCCATCGGAACTCCTCCCTCTGCTGTCAGAATCTCTCTCGGAATCTATTTCTGATTCTCCCTTAGAGTCTTTCCGGAAATTAGAATATTTCTCTACGGCAGCTCGGGTCCCACATAAATTCTCTTCATCATCTGGACAGCAATCTAGCCCACCTGAATCTTCTCCCAACTCTTCTGTTTCGGAAGAGCCTTTTCTATCATTCTTAGGATCCTGTGAGGGCACGGTTGTCAAGACCCCATCCGCTCTCTTCAGGTCGGACTCCATCGCAGTCCGCAGATCAGTCCATTTGGAAAATCCGTCCAGTTCGCTAAGTTGATCTTCAAGGGCACTCGCCTCATCAGAAGACGCCTGTTCATCGTCGTCACCGGGCAGCACCGAGTCTTCGAGCATGGAAGGACTAGCGACGCCCTTGAATTGGATAGGTCGGACGTCCTTTCGGGCTTCTTCTTCGTCCGACGGCTCTTCCGCTTGCTCTTCCTCTTCCTCTTGTAGCGTTTCCCCTAGCTCTTCCGAGGAGTCTAAATAAGGTCCCTCGTCCTCCTCCACGACTACAGCATCGTCCGCGTCCCACTCCACGATTTCTGGGTCGGTGTTATCCTGGTCCGTTTCCACAAACTGTTCAAGCAGGACCCTTTCCTCGAACCCGGTGCACCGGTTCAGGATCACCACGACATTCAGTGACTCGCGCGGGTTGACCACGCGGACGCTCAGCCACTGGCGCGCCCAGCCTCCCTCGCGCTGTTGGAAGGGTCCCCATAAGATGAATTTGCCTGCGGCCACGTCGGTGACATCGAGGTGCAGGTCCTTGGTCATTTCCACAAATAAGCGCACGTCGGGGATGCTGAGGATCGTCATTCCGTCGCCGTCTCTTTGCCGAATGACCATGCGGTGTGGTCCCGACGGCTCGCTTCCGCCCTTCATGCCAGCGCCTGCAGAGACGGGTGACCCAGCGGCCGACTCGGCCTCGGCTGCCGCGGCCTCGGCTGCCGGGTTCCCAGCGCTATAGTACTCGGTTTCTGACACGTCTCCCCGGTCTTGTTGCCGCCCATGCTCCGGATCCTCTCCCGAGTCCCCTTCCGTGTCCCCTTCCGTACCCGCTTCCTGCCCCCGTTCCCAGTCTGGGAAATGCTCCCCGTTCACAGAAATCGTCACGGTCACTTCGCACGCGCACAGTTCCCGTTCGCAGGTGGTGGATAGCAGTCTCATGAGCTCAGTTCGAAAGGCAATCGCTGCCTCGACCTTAGGAAAATGGAATCCGTACTCAATGGGTGGTTTAACCTGGACTACCTGGAGAGAGTCAGGGCGGTGTTGTCTGACGCTGATCAGCTGGTCGAGTGGTAAGGCCGGTACGACCAATTCATCGTCATCATCCCAGAGATACAATGCGGGGGGGCTTGGTTGTCCTTCCGTATTGGTTTGTTCCTCCTCCGCATGTGTCTCAGTCTCGGTATCGACATTAGTCTCCGCTTCTGGGTCCTCACTGAATGTTAAGAAAGCACGGGGTCGCAACAACCTTACATCCGTACCATTGACAGCGTAGATTGCTGCTACGTAATCCTTTCGTTCTTTATTTGGCTTTTCTTCCTCTTGTGGGCTTTGAATAGAATTTCGACGGTACACCAAAGATGCTAATCTGGCGAACATCGTTAGTTCTTTTTCAAAGCTAAGTTAAAAATGCGTCCAGTTAAGTTAAAAATGCGTCCAGTGTATCTTGATATACCATTATACTGTTCGGTGTATTGTAGTCTATCGTTCGGTGTTGCTGGCCTATGAAAGAAGTTGGAATTTGGCGGATGATGTATTTACCTTGTGGGTGGTTAGTTTAGATTTGGTGTGGTGTGCATTACGGCGTGTAGGGGAGTGAATGCGTCTGGAAGCAGTTCGTCCGGTGGGTATTTGGAGTAGGCGTTTCCTAACGGCATAGGCGAGAGGTTGTGTAAAATCCGAGGCGCCGTTGTTGAGGGGGCCGTGTAATGAAGACGAGCCTGCAGCCGTCATGGTGAATACATCGTGGAGTATGTCATATGTGTAATTTGCTGTAATCCATGACGGGCTAGGACGTGGTCCATCAACTATCAGGCCTGTTGGTGTAAAGTCCGGACCAGTGACAGGCACCATTAACACTGCTGGTTCTGTAGGCGCAAGGTTCATACCTGCTGACAGGTTCGAAGGACCTGTTGACAAGTTCGAAGGACCTGCTGACAGGTTCGGTGCTGCGGAAGGAGTGCCCATACCTGTAGTGGGCCCTTCGTCAGTGTCTGCTTCGGAGCATTGTGCGGTAGTTTTGTTTCCTGTTTGTGGGGGGTCCAAAGAGGAGTCGTCTGAGTTGCTATCAACAAGCAGGATGGTGGTAGTTCTCTGGCCAGGTAACGGCATGTTGGACTTCCCATGTGTACTTGCATATTCGTTCTGCATGCGACTTATCCGTGTCCTAAGACGGTTGGACAAATCGCGTGGGTACAGTCGCCGGGTTACAGCTTCCAACTCGTCTCCAAATACAGCTGGTGTACTAGAGGAAACGGAAGCTGGTGCACTAGAGGAAGCGGAAGCTGGTGCACTAGAGGAAACGGAACCTGCTGGACTAGAGGAAACGGAAGCTGCTGGACTAGAATACCGAAGAGACGGCGGCGGTGGAGTTCGGCAACGTCGTGGAGACGTTTTTCCGGCGGCGGTGTCTGAACATATCTGATCTAGCATTGACAATCCAGTTTCAACAACCCTGCCAGTTTCAACAACCGTTCCTATCTCTTCATCTGGAGCTCCTGCCGGTATCCATAATGACACGATTGGGCTAGCCCAACTGACACTCTTTTCTGATCGCGATTGAATTTTAACATGCGTTTGGGAAAACTATTTGTTCAAATCATCGTTCTAATTGTCGTTCTAATTGTCGTTCTAATTATCGTGTCTGTAACTCCAAGCAGCAAAGTCGAATCATACAGTTTTTTGAATCGGTATAAGTTGCTACAAGAACAGTTGATTCTAAGGGAAATCAGTACCGAGAATACAATCAAGAATACAATCGAGAATACAATCAAGAATACAATCGAGAATACAATCAAGAATACAATCGAGAATACAATAACAGAAGCATGTTCTGGACATGGGAAAAACGTTGATAACTATTGCAAGTGCGATGCCCAATGGTCGGGATTCCAATGTGAAAGTAATGTTTATTGAGTGGCACTAAATAACACTCATTTTGGTAGTTCAGGCACCTTCAAGAAAAAGTCGACTCATGGCAGCCTTGATGACTGCTACACTCCCATTATTGGCGACTGTTGTGATCAGTACCTCAATATCTCATTGACATCACGATCATTGTCCGTGGTTGTCACATACGGTGGCGTCCATATAGTTGCTGCACCTATAATTCTCGCCATGCTGGTGGAACCTAGACTAGGAACCTAGACTAGGAACCTAGATTATCAGCGAGCGGTTCCTGAAACAACCAGAATTAATTCTGGTTGTTTCGACACGGGCACACACCGACACGGACACCGACACGGGCATTATTTTTTGATAAACCACACCCGTTTCAACGACATGGGCGTGCCACCAAAAAAGAGAACCAGTAGGCTTATTCAACAACTGTTGCTCTTGAGGACCTCAGGAGCATTTCGTCACACAACCTCAGGGAGCATTTCGCCACACAACCTCAGGGAGCATTTCGTCACACAACCTTCCCCTGGTCCGTCGGTTGTGGAGTTGTCGTAATAAACATCTTCCTTCCGTCATGACAATGCCCTTGCGAGCCCTTACCGGCTTCGTCGCCGCGCATGATCTCTCCCGTGTGGTTGACTCCTTAATTACTTAGTCATGGTTTTAGATGCGCGGTCAACCGCTACGGTCCGGCTGAGATCTCTAGAAGACCGGGTGAGCCGGGTGGAGGCGAGCCTTGCGGAGCTCACCGCCTGGAGGGAAGAATTCCGACAGCGGGTGAGCCGGGTGGAGACGAACCTTGCGGCAGTGAGGGAAGAGCTCACCGCCTGGAGGGAAGAATTCCGACGGTGGAAGGACGAGCCTCTGGACGAAGAGTCACGGCGGAGGGACAAGCGCCTGGACGACCACTTCACCCGGATGGCCGCCCATTTAGACGCGGGTTTTTCGGAGCTGATAGCAGTCATCCAGGAAAAACAGAACAGAAGAGAACCTAGTAGTTAGATCAATGAGGGGCGGTGGTTAGCCAGGATGTGGGGTCTCGACTTACAGTAACCCAACCGGCTACGGGAAGGGTGGGGTGGGTACTGTTCTTACAGCAGTACGATCTTTGCGGCTTGACGAGTATAACCTTGTTGTAGACTCATAACAAGGTCATTCTCGCCAAGCAGTAAATAGACGATGCTGCTCTAGACAGCCGCCGACCTTGACGCGAGTGAGCATCAACTACATCGGGAGAGGGCCTTCCGAAAAGCTCTTTTGCGACGACAGTCATGATATGAAATGCTTGAGACCTAATTTCCGCGGAGAGAAAGGATACCTTCGATACCTATCTATACCCCACTATCAGGTGCATGTGATTGATCCAGCTTTATTGTGGTGCCCGGGTGAAATCAGGCGCGCGTAATTAATGTCGATGGGTAGTTGGAGGGCCTAGAGGTCTTCGCGATGGAGCCTCCAATATATGTAGAACTGCGATGATGGCAATTGGGCAGCTTTCTGGAATAAACTTGGTCCTGTGGGACGTCTGACGGCTGCGTTTAAAGCAAGAATAGCGGGATCTTATGCTGACACCTGAGGACATAGCTTACTGCCACGAGAAGGAAATGCTTGTCGTTAAGACTGTAGAAAACTCCAAATCGAGCACTGATGACATCTGGAGGTTTGATAGCACAAAGAAAGGATCCTGGATCAAGTGCTGGATCCGGTCACTCCATCCTGGCGTGCCATGTAACGTGTCAAAATAAAGCATCACATACATCACCCCTTCAGAAAGAGCAGCTGTCTTGGCCATTCCACACACATACCTGCACATCATCGCACAATCAGGTTGCAATTGGCATCAAAGGCCCGGGGTGGGTGTGGTAGCACTGGAGGTCACTGCTGGCGGATCCCCATGAGTTTGCGATTAATCGAAGAGTCGTTTTCGTCGATGTTTTTTGATTTTTTTTTTCTTTTGAACGAATTTTTTAAGACCGATATCGTCAGCAAATTGGTCGGTAATTTGTCCGTTGGAGTTGGATTCAGAGACGGCGGATAGAAGTCTTCCTGCAGTTGATCTTCCGCCTTCATGTGGCGATGGAGCGATGTAATGGGGAGACTGAACTGGTGTGCCCTGAGGAGCTGTTTCGGTAGAATTCATGTGTATTCTTCCTGTGCTTGCATCGTCATCATAATCATCATCATCATTGTCATCATCATTGTCATTACGTCGATTCGTTTTAAGACCGTTATTCTGATCGAGGTTCAGTGACAAGCTTTGTTTATCCTTGACCTGAGTTTTGGCATTCAAGGCCTCTCTCAACGATTTTATTAGAACACGTTCCCTCACTGATATTCCTTCGTCTGACTCCCTGAGAGTAAGCTTGATTCCTGGCAATTCAGCGGCCATCCATTGGTCATCTTGCAATAACGAAACGGTGAGGTATTGTAATAAATTATCGAAAGCCGGATTTCCTACTGGCATATGCTGGGAACCCAAATGCGGGGGCATCGTACCACCCTGTTGGAATTGAATACATATTTGGTCATCTAAAGGACCTATATAATTACCAGAAAGCAAAGCCGATCTCTGACGTCGATATGCATAGCTCAAAAATATAGAACTGTCCATATTTAACAACGATGCTCCATCACTTAAATGATACATGAAACTTATTATGTAATATGAATTGGACTTAAAGTATGATGATACAACAACACACGGTAATAACACACATACAACATTCTCATGACTATCTACAATTATTAATTTATGCTTTTTTTTTCCTTTCGTCCTTACTGTCACCTTTTATAAATTGGCTTTTATGGATTCCATATGACCCATCAGGTAAATTTGCATCTTTAAGATCATGTAGAATTGAAGTAATTTCCAAATTATTCTTGGCGCTAAAAAATTGAGTATATCCCTTTTGACATCCGAACCATGGCTTAACTTTAGAGAACTCGACCCAAGAAACATTGCTTAGAATTATTTTGAAATCACTGCCTTGAATTGATGGTGGCCGTATTAGACAAATTGATACCACAAAATTTTGCTGGAGATGAGCCATCCAATCACGCACAATCAAAAATCCCTTGTTATTACGAAGCTGATTTAATTCATCATCAGACAATAAATCTACACCAGACATTGTTTCTAGCAACGACCTATAGTTAGTCTTAGGCCTCGTATTACAATATTGAATACCGACAATGCCTGGCTCTCGATTACCACTTAGTAATTGACATAATCGAAATGAGTAAAGGATGCTATTATCGTCACTCAAAATGTGATATATATACCAATTCTACAACAGTATGTTTATTTACGGAGTGTGCACACACGTGTTTGCGGCTTACAGAAATAAATTGAATTTCTCTTTTCCCTTGGAAATCAGCATCATTAACATATTTTGGGGCTGTCCCAGATAAGAGAAATTGAAGGCGTCTTTGTATTCCTTCAAGATCCTCCAAGAATAATTTATGTTTAGTAGAATGGGTTTGAATCCTCTGAACCGTCAGTGCTTGGGTGCTCAGATCAATAATCTCTCCATTATCGCTGTGGTAAAAGTAATGTCGATCTCGCTGGGGCGTAATATCTGATCCGAGGGTGCTCAACGAGGACGATGATGCGGAGGAAGTTGCAGGCGACTGATCATGTGTATCATTGAAAGCGACTTTCCCGCCTAGCGTTCTAGGTATTTTATCTTGGCTTGTGACTGGTTCGGTAGCACCCGGTACGGTAGCACCCGGTACGGCAGCACCCGGTACGGCAGCGTCCTCAGTCCGTGATTCGTCGCCTTCGTCGAGCAATTTGCGGTTGCGCCTCGAAGATGCCTTGGACGCAATGACGCTCCTCTTGAGTTGTTCCTGGCGCTCCAAAAGTTGAGTCATCATCTTCTCCTCCACAGCAAATAACGCGGCGAAGTCTGCACGGACCTTCTCTAGCTGTTCTACAGCCACTTTCAGGTCTCGCGTCTGCCAGAGATCGTTCACCTCCCGGAACATGTTCTGGTGACCCTTGTTTAAAACCTCGTGTCCCTGCGAGTAGGACACATTCCAAATAAATGGGTACGGCGCGGGGTGATATTGGATCTCCATTTACTCCCTGCGAATTATTCCCCATTCATTCAGCGGCCCCCCCCCCT